GGGGTGGAGGGGGGAGGAGCCTTCCCTGCCAACACATCTGGTTTACTGGCAAGGGCAAGCAGTCCCCTAACTGGTTTTGCCTAGAAATATTTACATAACTAAATTCAAGATCTTTGTAATGATTCAGACAATTTCTATGGGAAAATAATGCATTGGGCTTCACAAGACCTACATACCTTATACTTAACTATTTGCTCTGATGCCAGATATACAGCATCTCAGTTAAAACCAAAAAACATCCCCTTTGCAGATGACCAGTATGCAAAGATGTTGAAGTAAGAACATGAAGAAAAAAAGAAAACAGCCTAATATCACAGTATCACAGGAACGCTATTCGGTAGAGTTCAGAGATGTGGTTCTTCCTCTTATTCACATGAGGATCCCCCAAACATCAGTTGCTTTTCAGCATGCTTGACAGCCATAAGCTGCAGCTGTGCTGCATTGAAAATTGGCAATGCTGACATTAAACTGAAGGAGCTTGTTGAAGTAACAACAAAGGCACTGATTACTTTCTTCTCAAAGCAAAGGGTCTTTTTTCTTTTTTTTTTAAGCATAGGAAAATAGAGCCTGGTAATATAACAGTGGAGTTGTCCAAGACCCCAAGTCATGAATCAAATACCTGATTTGTAAGGGGTGCACACACCTCTTCAGTCCTACCTGTACCCCCTTCCAGATACTGCATCCTCTCTTTGAGAGCACATCCACTTTCATACTACCTATCAATTTCTGCCACTAAATCCAGTATTTCAGAAGGATTCTGTATAAATCAAGAATGCTAAACAGCCATCCAGCCTTTGAGTTTGTGCTCTTGTGTTCTAGTTGCTTGCAAGGCAGTAAGTGCAAAGTAGACTAGCCATATCCAATTTTCACAAAATGCTGACCACAGCAGCACTAATAAGGCCGTAATGGTATTGCCTGTATACAGAATACTTCCTCTTCAATTGAGGAGGATTCAGTGATGAAAAAATATACTAGAGAGTACTTTCCAAAACACTGTTTCTTATCATAATTGTGCTTTATACCAAGTGAGCTTTGAAATACCCAAATAGATGAGACAGATTGCTAAAATAGGCTTTTTAGAGTTGCATTCCCTGCTTGTTCTTAACAGTGAGCTGGCATTTCACAAATAGCGACATATTAAATTCTAAAGTCAAATAGAAAGAAAAGGCTGCCTGAATTTGCCTGTCAGTTTCTTATATATCATTTGGGAACTTTTTATGCAAACATATTTAAAGGGCGCAGAAGGGGAGGGGGGAAAAAAAAAAATCACACTACACTCATTTGGAGCTACAAAAAATGCATCTCTGCATTTTGACTGGGATTACAGATTATATACCTTGTCCTCGTTATACTCCACAGCATGAGCTCTAGCACCTGGGCAAAACCACTGAAGCTAAGTGCTGCTAAGCCTTTCACTTAAAGAGGTTAAAAGTGGCTCCTTGAGTAGAATGAGAACGCCACGACATGAGTTTAAAGAAACAGTCCATTTCTGTAGATGTCCTGCCCTTCACGTGGAAAGGCTGCTCTACCTAGAGTTTTAAGAACTGAAAAAATCCCCACTAAGCTTTGAATTTTGGATCATCTCATAGTGCCTTTTGGAGAGGAGAAAGGTCTTTGATGTGTCTCCTCCATGACTCCAGAATGTAAAGAGCCGTTGTTTACTTTACAGTAACACAACACTTCTTTCACTTTTGTCCCCTGAGGAAAATAATGCTTCCTCCTAACCACAGGGATGTTGGACAATTACAAATCTAGCTTCAGAATGGTCAGCACTTCGATATACGTATGACATTTCATCATCCCAATTTTATGGGAAAGACTTATGAACAACAACAACAAAAATAAAACCACACACACGTACACACACACACACACACTTTATGCAAACAGAAGCGCATTTGAACTCAAAAGAAAGAATGAATCTTGTTGATAGATCAATTTTTCCTCCTCCTTAAGAAAACGAAATGGAGATTTCACTACTAACAGAATCATACTAAGATGCTGTAAAATATTAATGGTTTAGCATGTCTGATAAGTACCTAATGTAGATATTAGGAATTATTTCAATTAATTCAACAGAAAATAGCAAATATTAATTCTTTAACTGCTTTTTACCACCAGAAACATCCAGCTGCAAAACGTGGATATCATAAGCACAATCAACACGTGAAGTACACAAAAATAGTCAGAGAGACTTCAGCATTGTCTAGTTTAGCAATGGCAAAACGAACACCTCCCCAAAAGACATGCAAAGTTCATCATTTGACATTCTGACTACTCATTATTTCATTTTGTAAGCAAGATCATTTTTTTCATTCTAACTAGCACTGTATTCTATTAGCATGCTCACAGAACGTTTAAAAACATGTACGTACCAAAATGTAAGTCCACGAGGACTGCTAAGTG